GCGTAAAACAACAATAAATAGAATGATATCCTTGAAGTTCACAAGGACTTTGCACGAACCCCCAACCCACCGATCGATATTTTATATCTCAAGAACGAAAAATCAAATAAATGTCAAATTTTAGTTAAAAATCTATTTCATTTTTTCAATCTCACACTTTTGATGAATTGATTACATTTCTTTATTTGTTTATATCAGAGAAGTATAATATTTCCATGTTTATATCGGCGATTATCATTTTAACGAGTTAAAAATTGGAACGTAGCAATCAAACATGCAATTGTAATTAATTATTCAAAGAATTAGAATTTTAAAATAATGAAATAGATTTTTTTTCAATTTGAAATTTATTTGATTTTTGTTCTTAATATAAGAAATATTTATGATAATTAGTGGTGTCGATTAATCGATTTCGTCGACAATTGATCGTTTCTTGTTTTCAAACCACGGATCGATCACAAATTAGCGTGATCGATTTTCAAGCTCAAAAGAAGGATTTTCTGGGTTTATTATCAACGTGCTAAAATCCCTATATATAACACGAGACTGGGAATACTGGTCCATATTTCTATGCAATAATCTAAGTAATGATGCCGTTTGACAAACGTATGTAAAACCCGTTTCATTACTGGCATTTCCTGTCGCTCAGAACATTTGCAAAGGGAGTTAACTTACATTTCTCAATAACGTAAGCGGCCCTACAACACTAAAATGGTGGAAACAAATGATGAATTTTATCCACCAAAACATGGTTTTGTAGATCGTACGTTTGGAAGCATTTCGGGTTTCCAAAGATTAATGAAGATCTATTACCAACAAAAGACAACACAAACTTCTAACTTGACAACGAGAATTGGCTTGATGATGTTACATGTGTAAGGGATACCCCAGCCATCCCTAATGATCTTCACGCGCGGGATGAAGTGAACAGATATTTCGGTGAACCCCAGACCACGCAGAAGCCATTAGAATGGTGGAAAGAACAGGAGCTGCTTTATCCAGGAATGGGCTGTCTTCCCAGGAAATACTTGTCCGTCCTTGCATCCAGAGTGCCATCGGAAAGGATCTTTAGTAAGATAACTAGTTAGCAAAAAAACGGTCTTAGCTTAAGCCAGATAACGTGAATATGATGATATTTCTTTTTAAAAATGGATGGGGGGAGGGGGGGATTCTTGAAAAATGAAATGAGGAAATTTTTCTGATGATGTAAGGACTAGTATAATATACAGTATATAGACTCTCTCTACACGAACAAACCATATCTTCTATTGTTTTTTTCTTTTAAATATGTTTCTGTTGGTATTTATTTTGTTACTGTTCCTTCCAAGTGAGAAGATTAATAGATTGAAAATACTAATTTAAAAATGGTCTGAATTTTGTTTGAAAACTTTGAACTTACATGAACTTGAAGATAAACAATAAGCAATAACTCAATCGGTTAGAAATTTGAAAGAGTCTTTTAATAACTTAGCAGTGGACCAGAATACAAACATGAGACAATGCAATAAAAACAAAATTACAGCTACACATTACAGTCATGATTACACACATTAACAATAATTGCATAGCATTACAAATCCCTGCGATATATATCAACAAGATAAATATTGATGATTGGTCGTTATAGAGAAACCACTGGTCGATCATGATATTGGAACCAATTCCCAACGCAAATATAATACTGGGTTTTGGGACCCGGACCGCGACCAGGTACGGCGTACACCAGTGCTCGGACACATTAAAGAAATATGGCGAGTGTTGAGGTAGAAAGTTAGCACTTTGATATTCATATTGAATTTCTACAGCGTACGAGACAGGACAACATCAAAGAACATGATATGTGGACACAGTCATGGTATTGTATACCTACACAAGTGTAGATATTTCGATCTTGGTATAGTTATGGAGGTGGGATGTTTTCCGAGTGCCCATAATTTTATAAACGATAGAATGGTGTTGTTTTAAGAACCAATGGCAAGACAGTTATATACTGTTTCGTACAAGCTGCCCTTTTCTTGCTGGTATTATTACCTGAGATTTATCTGCGTTTCTCTCAACCTCTATCCATATAATTAAGATGTTAACTAAATATATAAATTACATTTCATAAAAAAATTAAGTATGACTTCACGAAGAACTAAAATATATAAAAATAGATTAAACAAGTAATAATTGAAATGGGGACCATTACAAATGTCCCCAAAACAACCCCTTCAGCAGTAAATGATCACAATAATCGGACCTGCAGTCATGCCAAACATGGACTACGCCATTTTACTCCTATAGTGCCACCCAATACATATATACCAATACCAATTTTCACGAAAATCGTACAATATCTAAAATTTGGCCAAATTTAGACCACAGATGACCGCTCAGATGACCGATCGATGGCCGAATGAAAAATGGACTACGCCATTTTTCTCCTAGTGCCACCTAATACATATATACCAATTTTCACGAAAATCGGACAATATCTAAAATTTGGCCAAATTTTGACCACAGCTGATCGATCAGATAACCGAACGATGCCACTACGCCATTTTGCTCCTAGTGCCACCTAATACATATATACCAATTTTCACGAAAATCGGACAATATCTAAAATTTGGCCAAATTTTGACCACAGATGACCGATTGAAATAATTCCAGTGGCCTGCACTCCGCCTCGCATGTATGAATAAGTGTGTAAAGTTTAGTTAAATTCAATGCAATAGTTTTTGAGAAACGCGTCGGAAACCTCCCCGGCGGAAGAAAGTGGAAGAAATAAGAATAATATATAGATAATAATAATAAGAAGAAACAGAGCAAACACAATATGTCCCCCCACCTCGTTTGGGGGACATAATTATTATGTTGGATGACTTAGAACTAAACTCTAAAATATTTCTAAAATTATTGTAATAAGAAGAGGAAAGTATCCGAATAAAACTAGAGTATTTGAAATAAAAAGAAAAAAGAAGTCAATATTGGTGAAGAAAATGTCACATTTCTTGTAGTTGGTATCAAATGTATTCGATGAGAAATTATTAATAGTCATTTCAGTTCCAGTTAATTGGGACTTAGGATATTTGTTATCTAAACTTTACAAAATTATCATCAATATAACATTCAAAATAAAACAAAAAATATGACATTGAAACATTTCCCAAGATATATGAAATATGTTTCTTCATATTTAATAAGCTTATAGTGAATAAAATTATTTAAAAGGTGAATATTATTTGGGCATATCCTTAAACATTTATATGTAAAAAGAAGTTCCATGAACATAAACATATAAAAATACAAGTTATACCCGTTGCTGAGTGCCAACAGGTGAAACTTTTACAGGTAAATTTACCTGTTGGAACTGTTATAAATTTAAGATAAAAGACACAGCCATGTTGGGGATTTAAAAATGTTGGCACTCAAGAGATACACCCATTGATCTACCCATGAAAGAAGAATCTTGAAAACTAGTATATAAAAATAATCCAAAAAATATGTTCAGTTATGCCTTGTTGTTCGTTATAACACTTGTAAGTATGATACATGAATATGGTTTGTTGGTTGGGAATTCGTGCCAAACCCCTGTCAGTTTGTAGCAGTTTGATTTTTCCCTTCTTTTCCCTTCTATACACGACCAGGAAAGAGGAACAACATATCTCACATGGAATTTGAGAAAGTTCTACCCAGAACTGCCGAATAAATAACAATAACATACAATTACTGTAAAAATCTAAGATGTTTTTCTGACCAGGTACAAAATAGATAATGCATAACAAGGCTTTAATATGAATCAAGATATGAAATTTTAAAATTAATCAGAACGTTTCTAGAAATAGCTATAAAATATTTCACAGTCAAGATATTATTTCGTCTACTGTTACACTGTTTATTGTACTTATTGGTTATGCTTTTATTACTATTTCAAAATAACTGATAATAAATATTTATATACCATTACTGTATTTAAAATGGCAACATGTCTATACCGGCCGATTTTTATAAAATATTTTGAACCCGCCCCGCCACCTCTCTCTTGCTAAACGATTCCAAGTTCAATGTGAATCAGTTACAAAGACTTTTGTTGCAGAACTGAAGGTACCTGTATATTTGCATACTTACACCATTCGTTCAACTACCAAAATAAAAGATTATGATATAAATTAACTAATTAATAGTATATTGTGGTAATATTGATTTTGATCAAAATCAACTGATCAATAATTTGACAGTATTCGATGTAAATGAAACGTTTACTTTACGTTTGTTGAAGGAAGGTAACTCCAGACAGCCTTGATTTGATGATCCATGTACATTATTCCCTCGAGGTCATATCTAATTCAGCAATACTAAGATTCAGATTCAAGATGCTCTCAGAACAGTTGTTGAATAAACACTACGGTCATTCACACAGAAATAAGTGCTGTTATATACATACTCATTTAATGAGTGTTGTCATTGCAAACGTACATATCAAATTATCCAGAGTGTCAGCGGCCATCTTGGAAAGTCACCTGCACGTGAGCTTTGATTCCGTTCCATTCTCTGATACCAGACATCCTCGATTCTCCAGGGATTTAGATAATTATGCGACAGTTATTGCAACCCCTGGATTGTCGAGGAATAATACCGGACTTATTCGGTACAAGTAATACAAATCCGTGGGTGGTCGGGTGGCGCAGCGGTAACGCATTCGCCTTTCACCTAGCCGTCCACGGTTCGATTCCAGGAACGGTAGGTGAAAAGGTAGGGGCACCTGCCCAACCATGTGGGTTTTCCCCTGATACTCTGGTTTCCACCCACAGAAAGACTCTCGAGCGCTTACATCCAGGCCAACAAGAGTGATAATTATAAACTGTTATAACTTGTTTCCCAATTGTAAAATAAAGCCTATATTTTCATAGGACAAACCAAATAAATGAATGCACGCTTCGATAAGCAATGCTTCAAACAAGAGTGACAACGTTGTAACGATATTTCATTCTGGGTTCAAATTTTGTCTGATTTTTGTTTTATTCTAAATATTTCCATCCTATAGTATATAATTCATGGTCCAGTTCATAAACTAGAGGTTTACCTGAAAAGAAACAAAAAAATCCTTATTTTCTATAACAAATTTACCTAAACAGATCACGGTTATATGTATCACTTTTTGTTGCTTTGGTTAATATTGCTTACCGTTCTACCTTTTTAGTAATGACAAATATATTTCACGAATGTGGCTAATAATTTGGTATTTAACTTTAATTGCACAGCGATGTTCTATCAGTAACCATTATATCTAGATAACATCTTTAGCAATTCGATATTGCTTTTTCTACCACAATAGGTGGTATAGTCCAACAAATCAACAATAAATCATTACCACTGTTGTATAAACAAACTACATTAATACCACACGTAGAATCAACTGTAAACGTGTTTTGATTGGCTGACGCGGCGACCTTTGACTGGAAGGGCGCTTCACGCAGTCGCTGAAGTTAAACGCAATAAAATGCCAGTTTCTATGTCTTGTAATCAATTTATTGCTTTGAACTCAATTAACACTTTTTCTGCTTGTTATCCTAAATTATTTTATTTCCTCGTATTTCTAAACACGAGTGAAAGAAATACCACACACAGCGATCACTTGTTGTGCATCCTTTATATATTTCACAGGTGAAAATTATTAAATGTATGATTCGAATGATTATGAGATAAAAGAAAAACAGCAAAACAAATCTGAAACGCATAAACACGAACAATATCATTAAAAGCAAATACATGCGGTACGTGACGATACGAAATCATTTTTATTTTTTGAAATCATCATACTTCAGAGGTTAAGCTCACTTTGATTCTCTTCAGAGAGCGAAAGTGATGTTACCCTAGAGTATCCAGGATAAAATTATTATTTTTTAAACTTCATTCTTAAGATCTGGTACTCATTTAAAAAAATGTAACGAACAATGTTCACGTAAAGTGTAATGGCTTATCACTGGAGGAAGTTAGCACTCGGCCTTTGATCAAAATTGATACAGAATTTCCAGTAACCAATGCAAGGAAAGACATCTACTTGAATATATGGTTTATGATACATACCTTGTTCAATTTTCTTCAAATCACTGTCATTATGATTGTTGATCTTACCAAGATATTTGTGGAAGTTCTTCATGATATTTGAATGAGCGACTATGATAACTTTCTTGCCAGCCTTTAAAAAAATTCAAACAATATTTGGAAAAGTTCAGAATGTTTATTCCTCAAAGTACACTGCAATGTACAATTTGATAAAGATGAAGTGGAAACTGCTCTAACGGAATTCAATTAGTTTTGACTTACTTAAATCAAATTATATATTATTCTACGAAAATGAAAACGTCACAATGCAAGGGCGTTATCGTGAATAACAACTGCGAAATGTCGAATGTCAGGAAAATTATCTCATTGTTATTGGTATGACGTTGAAAACACTCTAAATACATAAGAAATTTTATGGCAATATATTTCAATGTAAGAGTGACATTTTGCTGGTCCAAACTACACTTACCTTTATTTCCGGTACAATATTACTGTGCCAGTAATGTAGAAATCTTTCCAGTGCCATTTTGGAAGATTCTGCTCTGGGTAAAACACTCGGTGACAGCATCTGAAACGAAAAACAAAATTTTGTAAGCTTCCTTTCTCATGTCTGCAGTCGTGAAATTGCAGTACATGTATGAATTTTAGTCGTAAAAAAAAAAAAAAAAAAAAACACAAACAAACAATCTTCGTATATTTTGTAAATTTATATTCAAGCAACTTCTTTTCAGACAGAGGATCATGTATTTATGCCTTGCGAACACGTGCACATGGTAAGCGCGTGCGTCAGGTACTGCCATTAGAACAACTCATGTGCTACTCTAGATATCGACAATGGTGTAGAAATAAGACAAGGATTGGCTTGCAATAAGCATGTGCTACTATGTTATTGTTTGAACATAATGAAACTGATAAAATGGAAAACTTAAACATGAGTCTGAGAATTTTAGGTCCAAGTTGAAATTCGCAATGTCTTATTTGTGAAGCGGTAGTGGGGTTCCAGCACCTTTGACTAAAAGTCTTAAAATTACTTCGAAAACATTTTTGAAAAACAGAAAGTCTCGGCTAATACTATGGTAATATTAATAGGACTTGATATTACGGCTGATACTCTGACTAAGGAGTATAGTCACATACATTGTAACGATAATCGTTTACTGTCCTCTGCCATCTTTCATCAGACTCCTCTAACGCTGGTGGACAATCGTCGAATGCCGACGCTTCCTTCTGAAAGTATAGGGAATTGATCATTGTCACTTTATTAATTGTGAACAGAAAATGTAGTTTATTAATGATACGTACTAAAAACTGCACAAGATGAAATGGGTGTGGGATGGGGGAAGGAGGGAAGGGAGGGGTGTTGACTCTACAAATACTAACCAAGATAACTGTGCTAATCACAAAGTAGTCAGTCTGGACACTGGAATAGTCATCTTAAATACAAGTTTAGTTCGGAATACAAATCTAACGAAGTAAAACAAGTCTGTCCATCTGGTCCGACTTTCCATTCAGAAGAAGTAACGACAAGAATTTAAAAATTGTTACTATCGCGGCCATCTTAAAATTCACAAGGCTCTGAATTTTGTAGAACACAATGTTCTTCTCACTTTAGACTCACCTAAACATTACTCAGTCTTATAGCTGATAATATAATACTGTCATAGTCCAAAACGGTCGCCTCTATGCTAAGAATTATTTAAGGACTGACGGCAGACGGTTAGACAGATCATGCGCTAAGACAATGGGTGATTCGACCATTCGGTGAAGGTAGTGAACGGGACGGACATTTGATGCAGTGGAACCTCGGACTCCGATATCTGAACTCGAGACCCTTACAAACTGCCAGCTGGGACGAAATATCACGACAACCGAGCTCAGTGTCATCAGTTTACGATGTTTTTCTACAGTTTTATTATATCAAGGAAAAATTGTAAGTCTAATTACTTTATATTTTTTTGTATGGTTCATTTCTTGTCCCTGGTTCGCCCCCTGGTGGCGTTCATTGATGCACCAGTGTTTGTGAACTTGAATCCAATGCAGGTCAAGTTCGTCCTGTACAAAATAAAGAGTCTTGATTGCCCTCTTCAGGACGCTTGTGAACGCAATGTCGAAAGTGAGGCCATTCTTCTTCAGTATCTGTTGAATAATTATTTCAATATCAAATCAATAAATTAAAAAAAAACCAAACAAACAAAAACGCGCTATATTTCTAGTACTTCGATAATATTCTTAGGTTTTCAGAAAGTGAGATCACTCCTAGTATAATAGTCGATTGCCCCCTGATTGAAAATTCACTTATTTTACCAATGTTTACAAATCCACACATCATCTTTAAATAGTATTAGCGTGTATTTAAGCGGGCATGTATCACATACATACATTAAACGTAAATGAATTAATGAATGAATGAATGAATGAATGAATGAGTGAATAAATGATTGATAAATGTGAACGAATGAATGAATGAATGAATGTGAACGAATGAATGAATGAGTTAGTGATTGAGTGAGTGAGTGAGCGAGCGAATGAAATGCAATGAAATGAATGAATGAATCGGCTGTACTTTTACAAGCAGACACCTTAAGTATAAACAGCATATGTATCATAAAAATAAATATCCAAAAAAATGAATGACGGCTTATTTTTGTACCTGATTATTCCTATAACGAAATACTGCCATATTGAATCATTACTGTATAAGACTATTGACGTAAGTATATTTTTTATTTTACGATAAATGTATCCTACCTGTCCAACACACCTGGCCTGCTCGACCCCCCGGGATGTCAGGTCTGAATCAGCCCAGCCTGTCACCCTCTTTTCGCTGTTGTATTCGCTTTCACCATGTCGCAGGATCACAAACGTATACCGAGCTTGTCCATCAGCTGGACTCTGGTCACTAGTGCTGGCCATACAATGTTTGCAGGGCAGTCAGTGTAAGTGAGTGTCGATAAACGGTGTTCAACTGTCAGAATAAACAAAATTGAACAAGAATTTGTACAGTGTTAATATGAAAACAATGGGTTGGAGGTTGGGGAGGGGGGAGGGGTTACTAATATATTTTTCTTTATCTTTTCACTATTTATCCAATATTAGCTGTAGAGGCAAAACAAGACTAAATTTCTTTTTATTTGTGAAATAATACCAATGCAGTTTAATACTCGAGCATGTAAATTTATTTATTCGACAATCGCACTTGCTCAGTAGTACTCGAAATGAATTTGTCTGTCCCATTTACAACTGAACTGTGTCAGACTTTCTATAACTTTACAAGTACTCTCTGTAATAACCCCATGGATGGCCTCTAACACAGTAGAAATCTAACTGTTCTTGGGGAACGGTGACAACGGGAACCTTGAAATCTACTTCTTTCTCGGTGTTGTTTCCGGAATCTGAAAACATCGAGTCGGTTCTGTATATTACATACGCTGAAACTTGCCGTTCTCGACGAACACAACCCAGTAATGTCATCCAAAGTCATCGAAAACGATGATACGCCATTTTGTTACACGTCAACATAGATTTTACAGCACTTTCTGCTTCAAATTTGATTCTCGTGGGAACCTTGAAAAAATAACAAAATTTGATATTTTGTTTGTATCAATGCATACAGAACGGTGTCAGATGTAATAACTGACCCGTGAAAATATGCCCTGCCCCGTTAATCTTAAGAATGCATCCGTTCTCTGTTCTCCTTCTATATCTTGATAGTAGATTCAAAATCCAAGATGGCGAACATACACAAAAAAGTAATAAAATAATATGTGAGCGAGTTTTATCTGCCATAGAATTTTTTAAATTTGAGCAGAGATTTAAATATTCTTCAGTCGCCTCCTTCGGCTGTATCATCACTTACGAAACTTAGAAGGATGACACAACTGTATCATACTGTTCAATTCAATATTGTGTATATGTAATACGTATTGTAAGTTTATGTATTTGAGTACAATGTTGTACAACAATTTTCTTGGAGTTACCTCCCTTCTATTAAAACAATTACTTTCATAAACGTTTCGGTCAACACCCTGACTCCTGAAGCGTGGAGGCAATATCTATATCTACTGTCTTCACTATTCATTGAAGTAGATGGTCAGAGATATGAGCACTCACAGGAAACGTACACACACCTTTACATTCAACTCAACTCACCTGACTCTGTGGTGTCAACAAGGAAACGTGTGTTTAACTTGTTTACAAGCCGCCTATGCCCCGTAAGGGAGATAATTATAACAAGCAAGTAAGGATTATCTCCCTTTGAGCTGATAGCCAATTTAGCATGCATTAACAAGAAAACACATGAATAACTGTAGCTAAATGGAAAAAATACACACACACACACACACACACACACACACACACACACACACACACACACACACACACACACACACACACACACACACACACCCTCACACACACACACACACACCCTCACACACACACACACACACACACACACACACACACACACACACACACACACACACACACACACACGGGGATAATTTAACCAACTGTAATTATAGCTCTACAATCTGGATTCGTAATTTTACATAGAAATAAATGGATGATAGTTTAATGTGGTTTTAATGGCGTTTAATGACTTCAACAAAAACTTACACCATTTTTACAGATTAATTTGTTCTTGTCCCCCACCCCCCAAATGTCTTATGTTATTTTATACACATCAGGGAATACTGTACCGTTTGCTGTTACAGATGTCGGCGTACATGGAGGGATTTCGGAAAGTGGCAGCCATTGTACATATGCTGAAAAGTAAATTTTTTTTGGAAAATGAGAGGACATACTTGGCTTACAACACTTAATTGTTTTGACACATACACAAGCTAGTAGAAAGATATTGTTGTATAATTCATAATTATCGCACTGTTACCGTTATTTGCCTGAATGCCGGCCCTTTTTGTGGTGTTTTCATATAGGCAGGAATTATGACTTTCGGTCCTCGACCAAGACAAATAAAATCGATGAGAGATAGTTAGATATACAGGTACATGTACCGCAGAATAGGATTGAATAACTTACCTTAATACCAGTGTGAATCAATATGTTTTCTCCGATGCGGGTCATATAAGAAAAAAAACCCGTTCTATCTAGTTTTCTGCACAGCCTAATATTTTGACACGAATACCATAGCTCGCGGAAGTAAAAAAAAAATACAAGTCCCTGTGTTGCTGAGGTTTACAGTCAACATTTTCGATAATCATATTGGAAGTTATTATGTTGGTCTCTTAAAAAAGCACAGGTCTCAGTGCTGTTGAGATCAACCCGTCAAATATGATGAAACTGATGCAAGGTCGTGTTGTATTCAAGTAATAAAAAAGAACAAGACCCTGTGATGTTTAGTAGGTAACGATACCACAGCTGGAATTCCTGACATCAGAAACCAAATAAGGCATAAAAAGTAAGTGCTTGATATCACGTGAAATTGTACTGTCATCTCAAATTTGTTGACCAGCTTATACAATTACAAAAATAAATAGGTAAACAAAACTATTTTGATATCGATCAGTGACCTCTACTTTGGAAAATCGGAGCAAACAAATATAAGATTATATGGAAAGGAATGATAATTAATTGTCATTTTAACTTATATTCCTTCAGTCTTATTTAAACAAAAGTTAGTCGACCGTGAAATCATCGACATGATACGTCCTATCCAATTACAAAACCGTCCCAATTTCAACAAAGTAGTTTTTGTTTGTCGTGTTGAGTGGCTTTAACCCTGGTGTATTAGGACTGTGATGGAAATGCGGGTAAAATTTCACGCCAAGTTATAAAATATTCAAAAGAATAAATCCTATCTAAGACGAATTTACTTTTTTTGGGGTGACTGGACGTACACGGTAACCAGAACACATCCGAGGTAATCCGAGTATCCGCCAGATCAATTATAAAAGGTGACGCCGAAAGTTCACTGGAACTAACAGATTTCCATAAAAATCGTTAAAAAAACCCCTGAGCTTTTTAAACATTAAATTGATATATAGTATATGGCTTGTGTTAGAGTTAAGAATTTGTGTTGTTTCACACATTATATGGGTGATTTGTTTTAGAGTTAAGGATATATGCTACTTCACACACTATACCAATCATTTGTGTTAGAGTTAAGGCTATATGCTACATCACACAATATACTTATTATCTGTGTTAGAGTTAAGTCTATATGCTACATCACACACTATACCAATCATTTGTGTTAGAGTTAAGGCTATATGCTACATCACACACTATACCAATCATCTGTGTTAGAGTTAAGGCTATTTGCTACATCACACACTACACCTATCATCTGTGTTAGAGTTAAGTCTATATGCTACATCACACACTATACCAACAATCTGTGTTAGAGTTAAGGATATATGCTACATCACACACTATATCTATTATCTGTCTTAGAGTTAAGGTGATATGCTACGTCACACAATATACTTATTATCTGTGTTAGAGTTAAGTCTATATGCTACATCACACACTATACCAACAATCTGTGTTAGAGTTAAGGATATATGCTACATCACACACTATATCTATTATCTGTCTTAGAGTTAAGGTTATATGCTACGTCACACAATATACTTATTATCTGTGTTAAACTTAAGGATATATGCTACTTCACACACTATACCAATCATCTGTGTTAGAGTTAAGGCTATATGCTACATCACACACTACACCTATCATCTATGTTAGAGTTAAGGATATATGCTACATCACACACTACACCTATCATCTATGTTAGAGTTAAGGTTATATGCTACATCACACACTACACCTATCATCTGTGTTAAATTTAAGGATATATGCTACTTCACACACTATATTTATTATCTGTGTTAGAGTTAAGGTTATATGCTACATCAAACACTATACTTATCATCTGTGTTAGGCTTTAGGATATAGGCTACCTTACACATTATACCTGTGATTTGTGTTAGACTTAAGGATATATGCTACCTTACACATTATACCTATCATCTGTGTTAGACTTAAGGATATATGCTACCTATCATCTGTGTTAGACTTAAGGATATATGCTACCTTACACATTATACCTATCATCTGTGTTAGAGTTAAGGATATATGCTACCTTACACATTATACCTATCATCTGTGTTAGAGTTAAGGATATATGCTACCTATCCTCTGTGTTAGACTTAAGGATATACACATTATACCTATCATCTGTGTTAGTGTTAAGGATATATGCTACTTTAAGCAGTATACATTGATTCGTGTTAGAATTCAGGCTATAAACGTGCCATACAAATTCTACACGTCCACAACTGACTAGAGTGAAGGACATTATGTACCTGATAAGCCTTACATACGATTCTGTTGTTTACTACTTTACAAAGTATAAAAGTAATTTCTGCTATTTATCTTCTGTTGCTTTCAATCTTGTCAGATCATTTATATATATACAAAAATGCATTCACATTTCATATATTTACTGTATTTTTTCTTGTGTTTGTTATTTTTTTCCAGGTTGCGTAGAACTGTAGTTAAAAACTACACATTAATTTTGAAAAAAAAACATAAATTAACAGTGTCATGGATACTGTACTATCTATGTACTGTACTGTAAGTACATTGTATGTAACAGGTTGATGTGGGCTGTTGGTGGTCGATTTATAAAACTGACATGCAATGTCCGGAGGCTAGAAATGTCAAATGACCTCGCTGGTCAAGTGTAGCTGACTGGTCACTTTTCACGGACAAATGGGGTCGGGAGTTGTTAATCAATGTCATTCTTAAGGTAGAGAAATATTTTATTTTAGTTAATACATTGAGTTAAAAGCTAAAGGTACAGGCACTGCTACCGTAAAATTGCATTTTAACTTGGTTTTGTACATCCTGTTGTAAAAGAAACAATACATCACCATGGTAACTCA